CTATACGGCGCCAAATTTGCGAAGAAATTTTAAAAGAGTCACGCGTCAACGTTATAAAGAATTTATTGAGTCTATTTTTTATTAACGGTTTTAAAACGATGTGTAATCTTAAAAAGCGTTTGATACGCTTGGCATTTTGAGTACTCCTGCAAGCCATGTTTATGAACGGCTGAAAACAAAAGGCAAAGCGATGAAAATTACACTTTTAAGACAACTAAAAATCAATAAAGAAAAATAATTCGATAGAACATTTAGAGAGACAACAATTTTCATTCACGAAAACAAATGAGTATTTAAGTGTGTCTAAGAATCCTCAAGTCTTTACTAGTAAGCTTAAAGTTTATGTTTTAAGCCGCCGGTTTCCCGGTGTTGGCTGTTTTCAAAGATGAACTCACGACAAGAAACTCGTTCAAAGCTTTCTTTCTATAGCCAAAATTATATAGAGAATATTACACGGTGGCGAGAAGATATGAATTTTATGTTCGAGTGGCAAGAACAATATTGCTCTTGCCACGAGAACATAAAATTCATATCTTCGAGCTAACGTGTAATATTCTTTTTATTATATAAACATACTGATGACGGCGTTTTTGATGATTTTCCGAAGATTTCCGACCACCTTCCGAAGATTCCCGAAGATTTTTCAAATTGTCCTGAAGACCAGACGAACGTTCCCGAACATTATCCGAAAATTTCCGAAGATGTCCGAAGATTTCCGAAGATTGCCGAGCACAGGAAGACCCAAAGATGTTTCGATGATACACCAACTAATTTAAGTACAATTTAAGAGACAAACTTGATGTCAGTGAAATTATCGATATCTTCACATGTAAAAATATCGTATTTTTACGTGTGTTCAGATACCACATTTCTCGGTGGTAGAAATTCTTGTTCTGTAAGCTTAAGCTGTACAAAAGCAGCATCAAGATGCGCGCAGATGACCATCAAATTTATGTTAGTGATGAAACGATGGAAGATGTGGAAACGGGACTTTAACGGACGAGGGAAGGAAAATCTCAAACTGGTACCAACTCAATTTGTTGAAAATAAATGTAATCGTGACAAATTTCAATCTATGAGTTTAAGGCAAAGGCACTCAAACGAAGTAATGAAAATCAAAGTCTATGAGAAATACGTAGAAAGTGGTCCAGAAATGAAGCTATTGGGTGTCACCTTTAATGAGCATCTGAAGTTTAATAGCCATTTAGATGAACGAGATAGGATAATGATCGAGTTACGAGTCTGAGTTGACTTAGAGTTGAGTTTGAGTTAAGTTTGAGTTAAGATTTAGTTAGGTTTGAGTTACCCTTTTTAGCTGTCATTTTTATTTTATTTTTTAATTTTTACACTCTGAGAATGCAAATGATGGCATATATTATCGGCGTTACACATATTTTTGCATATAAAGTGCGCAAATACAATTATTTTTCAATTTTACAAGGGAAAGGGTGTAGACAGCCACACCTCCCCTCCCCAGCAGCCTTGGAATTCCGCCTTTAGTAAGGATCCTGGACCACATTCTGAACGCCTGGAACAGGCTTATTAATATTGAGCACATTATTTCAGTACTAAAAGAACGTATGATTACAATTGCTTAATTCCTGTTATCATGTTCCTCGATTTCACCAAGAAGATCAAGACTGCTGCAGAAAGCAAGCTTTCAACAATAATAAAATTATTCTGAAGAAGGCTGAAGTGAATTAACAAAACAACCTCTTCGTCAATCTCCGAAAGACTTTGTGCACAATAGTTCTATATTTTAAAATAGGGGGATCTAACTGTAACAGGTTATACAAACCGCCTGAAAAGTATCAAATAAACAGTGATAAATTGATATTCTAGCATTAAATGAAGCTGCCGTGATCGATAAAGCGGAGTTTTTATGGGAGTCCAAGAGTACATAGGACATTGGGTCTTCTTCGTTTTCAGGAAAATACCAACACACTATATCGGGATAACTAGTGTTTCGATCCAAAGCCATGCACCATGACAGAAAAACCCTTGAATTTGAAGCCGATTCTGATAGTAACAATGTTACTTTGAATAACAGAGAGCACTTTGCATTGAAAAATCTGGGATCAGGAGTCCAAGCGACAATCAGTGCAATTGGAAACCGCAAGATCAAAACACGATGGAAAGCCACAAAGTCGGTCGCAAATGCATTAACAACCGTAGGAATTAAGAGAACAGTTGCTGGTCCATTTTTTCCTTCTCTTTTTGCAAATTTTTTGCACAATGCTCCTTATAAAATTATTATCTTTTGTCATCGGCTAGGAAGAGAGATCAGTTGAAAAGGGACGATATCGGGTATCCACCGACTGACAAAGAAGTTTTATGTTTGAATATATTGCTTTTCTATAGAGGATCATCTTATATTCATAGAACATATATGTGAACAGTGCTCTCGATTGCCGTGTACTCAAGAAGAGTATCGTTTCTCAATGCAGGAGCGTACCTACCCGCACAAGTCATAAAAAAGAATAAATAAACGGTGAAAAACATTTTTGTGCAAAACAGGCATTTTTTTGGTAATTCAAACTTAACTCAATCTTAACTCAAACTCAACTCAAACTTAACTCTAACTCAACTCAATTTCGTAACTCGATAAACAGCCTATCCCGCATTGACAAATCTTTTATTTTCCACAATTAATTTATCGTCAGACGGTATGGCACTTTTATAGAAAATCTGACAGCCCGAAGATTGAGAGACTCCAAGAAAGAGCGCATAGATCAGTCTGTTGTGATAAAAGTAGTGCATACAAGGAACTTCTTGTAAGAGCTAAACTCTTCTCACTGTTAAACCATAGGCTGAAGGAGATAGCAATTATAACGTACAAAGTTAAGTATAATTTATGCCCTAGTTATATATCCGATATTTTTAATTTAAGCAACCGAAGTTTTAACCTGAGAAACTCAGGCAATTTTACAAGAATAAACACTACCATCTATGGGGAACACTGTATTAGTTATATTGGCCCTGTAATATCATGGTCCAAATTAAGTATCCATATTAAGAGTTCTGCAACACTTGCTTCCTTTAAGAACCAGGTGACATTAAGTGGACATTAAAAACCTCACAGCTGTACGAACTGTCAACTATGCAACCCTTAGAACAATTAATGGGGTGGGCAGGGTTTCCGAGCTTGTTTATTTTAGTTGTTTGATTTTCTTTTTTAGCGGAGCCCCATAGCTAAGGAAATCTACCCATCCCAGAAAATTTGGTAATCACGTGACCGACCGACCGACCGACCGACCGTCCGTCCGCACCACAGGCGTACCAATGTTTACTCTCACACTTTCTAGCTACTTTGGGAGCCCAGGAGAAAGCTGATTGCACATCAATGCCGTCATCAATTGACAGCTGTCAAAACAGGGTATCCGCTGACCACTATCACCTGACTGTATCGCGGGGTCAGGTGTCGACCCATCAAGGTCGAGTACTTTTTGAAGTTATCCGCTGACAATTTACTCGTTTTCAAATGATCGCAGGCTCACGTTTACTTTTGTTTTAAATTCACAACAAATATGTTGTGTTTATGTCAGTATCGCCCCGCACTATTACGATTTTGATTTCAAACTGACCTCAGAAGCAAAAATTCAGCCATTTTTTTTTAAAATACAGGCGGGGAAGACCTTTTCTTACCATGGTCACGTGTTGGTCACGCTCCACGTCCAATTTTTATGCTCTGATTGGTTAAAATTTGACAGGTGAGTTCATGCGTAAAAGTTATGCAGCATCTTGAAAGTTGTTTACTTTGACAGCTGAAGCTGACAGAGTTTTGAGTCAACTTGTGATGTTTTTAACTGTCTTTTTCCACTCGCTGTACAAAGTGAAATACAGCTGCTATCAAGAGTGTTCTCTTATTCATGGCCGGTTTGTTCATTGGGTTTTTGGTTGAAAAATGCGTCGCTTGTCAAAGCCGATAATCCGATTTCGGATGGCTTCGTTTTTGTTTTTCACCTTGCTGGATGCTACGAGAATTAGAAAGGCTCAAGGGATCCTTGCCTTACTTGATAGCTTTCAGGAGCTGCATCTCGAAATATGGTAAGCCTGAGTAATTATTGTATTTAAATCTAATTCCATGAAGTCCAGCGGCGCAGTTTATGAAGCTAGTTTATACACGTTTGTATTAAGATTTGACTGAGACACTGATCTGACCTCGTATGAGGTTTGATATAAGCTTAAGCTTAAGCTTGGTCCAAAATTTGAGCCTTGGAGACAGCCTCTAAACATTGCTTTCCATTCGCTCGAAGTCTCAGTTCCAATTCTAACACTATTTGTTCTTTCTAAGAAGTACGACCTTAAGAGACCGATAGCTTATAGGTTAATCAAGATAGTCACGTTATACTGCTATACTGTAAAGCTTTATTTTGGGAGGCATAGACATTAAGGGAAGGGGGTGCGTTGGGGAAATTAATGTCCCAGTTAAACTAATGCCAATCGCCTCTTGTTTAAAAAGGCTAAGTATATATGTGTCTATCCCATTTAACCGGTTAGGAGTAGCTATACACTCAATCCAGAAAAAAAGCTTAATTGTAATCTACACTTCTCAAAATGTTACGCCACTGCATCGTGCTGTCGACAGCCCAATGAATCCCCTCTAAGGGGGTCTTGTTCTCTCCTCGTTACTCTAATAGTTTAGACACTTGATCAGCTGTAGACATAGTTGTTAAGCTCAAGTATAAAGTAGACAAATTTTCAGAACTGTTTATTAGGAAAAAACCTTTTCTGTTCATCAGAAAATCTTTCCCTCTTGGGGTAGTATTGATAATCACAAGTGAATCCGTTTCTAAGGAACCTAAAATGATTTTTTTCACAAAAGTTGACAATACGCTGAGCCATGATTACAACCGTACTTCTTACAGTATAAGTTACACGTCCTGAATAAGCAGGTCCAAATCACCTGCCAAAATTTCGTGGTCTTCCATCCTTTCGGGAGGGATTTTGTTCTTTGTTTGGAGTTACCTTTACGCTGACCTTGTGTACCTTGGGCGAACTTACATCATGCCAAAGGTCCACAAAATTATTTTCTCGACACATACCGTCGTCACTGGCGCGCACACAAATGGGACTCTCTTCGTAATCGGCAATGATTTCTTGGATGTCCCGGGAGGTAAAGTGCTCCTCCGGAACAAGCACACAACATGACGAAACGCAGCAGCGGCAGCCATCGTCCAAGATAAAAGGAGATGGATCCTGTAGAATTTCTGCACTTTCTTAGCAAGAAGTTGCAACTTCTCAGCCTTAATTGAAAACAAATTGATGGAACTAAACCAATGATGTGGGCATCTCATCGTCCGAAGGGCAATATGAAGCTCTGTCAGTAATGCTAGAAAGCATATTTCAATGTTTTCGTCTGCCCAGAAACCGACTGGTAATTTTTCCATAGTGTTAAGAAAAATAGTTTTAATGTGGTATGAACCGATTTCAGGAACTACGGGCTGGAGATGGTCCTTTAGGATGATTTTCAATGCCAAGAAACATTTCTTTGCTGTATCTGGTACTAGCTTAGATAGTTCACATTCTGCCACAGAGAAAGAGAATCTCCAGCTTTTGTTCTCCTTGTCCCTTGGTGCCCACTTTGCTACCACATGACAGCCAAGTGACATAATCTTCTGCGCATCAGCCATAGACGGCCAGTAGCGTGGTCGAGAAGGCCAGTCACTATTGGTTGGCCACTCAGGGCAGTAGAAACAAAATGTGACGTCCAACTCAAAACCAGGATACACGCGAATCTTCAATGCTGGCCCCTTGGACTCGACTTGTATTTTTGGCGCCAAATATACCATGGTTTCTTAGGAAAATTGAGAAGAGGGGTGCTTTTCACAGCATCTTTGACTTCATTTATGACAAGCCTTGGGCTGATCCAAATCGTTTTGTACATAGGAGTAAGGCAAAATAGCTGAGTGTATCCAACCAAATGTATGTCCCCTTGACCTGAAAAACACGCTCTTACTGCCATGGGGCAAATCATGACGTCAAGATCAGTGTGAAGATAACCAAGACTAAAACCAGCACAGTAGCTATTACCAAACAGCATCTGTGGGATTCCGTATCTCTCAACTGTACTTCCTGAAAAGATAAGCTTCATTTGCTTTGCTGCTGCCTTTTCCAGCTTAACCTTCGTATCATTCACAACGGATAACATTGAGCTCCTTCTTTCAAGTGACGAAGTTCCTCTTCTGTCGGATATTTTGCTCAACGCACAAAAGTATTTCTTCAAGAGATTTGGAAATTCTTCCAGTAAATATTAACTTTCTGTGACCACAAGAGACTTGAAAATAGATAGGCTGAAAGGGAAGAGCAAAACGTAGTGGCGCAGTGGTTAAACAAAGACAGCATAAATAGAAACCGCTTCGTGCATAACACTGTACGTTATAAAAATCCTTCGCACCGTTTGCTCTAAAAGATGTTGGGTTAGTGGCTTCCCACTAATAAAAGAACATTATCCAGTGATAAAGCGCGCTGCTATTGTTTTCCTTATTACTTGTCACTTATCATCCACAAGTTGATTTTACACTACTTGGCAGTAAACAATCTTAAATAACTTTGAATGTCTATAAAAATCCTTCGGAGCCTGAATCAGTACTACTTTTAGCATTCATCTCCAACTAGTACCTGTGCCATTGTACAACGTGAGCTCACCTTTTTGGTTTGACAAACAAAACCACGTGACCTAAGTCGTTAATGCGCTTTTCAATAGTTCGCGCGAACTCCAAAACTTTATAGCCAGCTTACAATTGCGTTTTTCCGGCGCTGCCGTCAATCATAATTATGATCACGACCAACGTACCCGGAAACACAGAGAACTACAAAATGGATCGAAATACACCAATCACAAACCACAAACCATGAACTTTTGAACTCGCTGAAGAAAATTCTCTTTCCTGGGAGGTCTGCTAAGATGATTGTCAGGACTGAAGAACGAAAGCGCTAGTTGGCTTTTGAACTTCAGAGTTCACGTGTTTTTGTGTGCTGTAACCGACAGGCGTATCTTTGAATTCGCGAAGTACCTGTTTCGGTAGTATTGCAACTGCAGTTGAATTTAAGTACAAATTTAGCTCATACCATTTTCCGTCGTAACATCATTAAGGTGATCGAGACAAGGACTCCAGCACCTAAGCCTACTCCTCCATAGATACAGTATGAATCATCCTGTGCACAGTTTGTACCGAAACTGAAGATTTCGCCAACCCCATAAAACAATTCAAGAACGAGACAAATTGTGACAATAATAAACAAAAATGCGACAGCACCCTTTATCGTTTTAACAGCACTACAGCATAATTTCATGACCGCTGGAAAAAGGGGGAAAAAGGAAAAATATTAGCCAGTACCTGAATAATAACAATAATGAGAAGAAATTCTTCTTAATTGATTGTCTTAGCCGACCCCCCTTGTTTAGCAAGACATGCAGATAGACAAAGAATAAACTCTAGTCATGCACTTTTATTCACACTGGAAAATGTGCTTGCCTTGAGTACATATGCCTGTCAGTGGCCTATCTGGCGAGTACACTGCCCGGGGGTACTGCCATACATAAAATCAGTTTATAGGTATGTGCTGCTGTCAAGGGTCTGGTTTTTCAACCTACTCTGGGTAGGGTATAGAATCAGAGAGGCTGGGTCTAGAAAAGGGTGTCATTTTTCGAAAAACTCCGTGGTCAATGGCTTGAAGATTTTACTCTAGGCTAGGGGAACCGGAAATTGACACTCAATAAAATGAAATCGGAAAATCTGAATTTACCTGCAATTAATTCAGTTTAATAGCAAAGAAACCGTCCACCCCAGTATGAAATTTCCGGAAAGTAGCTACTCTAAGATCTGGAGAGATGTTGGGGGTTTAGTCTAGTTTAGGGTAGCAAAATTCAGCCGAACTTACTAGGTCAGGTCTAGAGTAAAGGTTCCGGGGTCCCAGTGGCATATCCCTACCTGACCATTCTTAAATTACCCCCGGGGTACACTGTAGCTGGGCGTCATTGTTGAACTTTTATACCTTCCACTGCAGACCTAGATTGGTCCATATGAAAATCTAAGCGGTATCAGCCGTTCAAAGCATTAGCTGTTTATACTGGTTTATAGCACTTTGCAAATGTTCATTCGTTCTTCTACTGCATTTCAACTGATTCTTCGCTGTGGGTAGACCGATAGAGAAATTCTACAATATATCCAAAAATACTACGATAAAGGTTTTGTTAAGTTAAGCATAAAGTTCTTTATGACCTATGTCAACAGTAGGGCTGGTACTGAAAGCCTACAAGACGTTCCTTAGTCACCTATTAACAGTTACATTTTCCAATGGTTCCCATGACTGCAGAGATGGATTGCGAAGAGTACAAATTAGTAGACGTAAGTTTTTAGGCACAGTCACTTCCTATCCCCTTACCCAAAAAGGACAAACTCTCGAAAAAGGGGGCTATGAACACCCTACAGCTAAAGTCAGTTACAATAAACGCGAGTACATACTTCCTAAATGCACTCAGTACAGGTAGAGAAAACAATGTCTCGTGACTATCAGCAAATTATTCGTCATATGACTATAAACATAACACCCTAAAATTCTCAAAATACTCAGTACGGTCTAGATCTAGCTAGCGATAGGCTAGGTTACGTTTGATCATCATCTATATAGTAACTTTGAAACTACAGAGGCAACCCGAAACTTTGAAGTTAAGACTGTGGTGTTTATTATAACATTTTTGTCTTCCACTTACTTCCTCGATTATTTAGTCAAAATCACACATGACGCAACTGAATGCTCGTATAGCCGGAGATTGCCCTTTTTTTAGCAGAGAAGACCAGATGTTTCTGGCATGTGATAAAACATGAAATGGACCGGAGTGGTAACTACCGACCTTGGACATTGCTAAGTATTCCCAGCAAAATATCAGAATCGTTCATAATTATGTGAATCTTGAGACCGATACTTGCGATGTGTTTTGCAACGGAACCAGTGGGGTTGCAGAAAGGGTCTATCATCTGAATCATTGTTATTATACCTTACAGAGATGTGAAAGCTATCCATAGACGATGGCAAAGTAATTGGAGCAATCTTTATTGGGTTGCAGGCCTGCGGCATAACTGATAGCCTTTGGGATTGGTTGCTAGGGTCCTGCTAAGAGACCGCTCCACTCATGTGCCGAACCTAATTGATGAAAGTACGACAAAAGAGCGGCGTCTGAATCAATTTGGTACGGCGGCCGTTTTAGCTAGGTGTGGCAAAGGTGTTTGGTGCGGCAAAAGTTCGACAGAGTCTGCCGGTTATAAGACGCATCCCGACATCACAACAGAGTTAGAGCTATCAAGCAAACTTTTGTTGAAAAAATGCTGCGCTTTATAAGCGAAAAAATGCGGTATATATAGACTATAGTTCCTCATGTCTCCATATCAGTGTCGGGAAGCTATTCTCCTGCTACTTTTGCCAAAATTCAAGGGCACCCAACAAGAATATAGTTCAAAACCACTTAAACATAACATTGTTGAACGTATTTTAGTATTTAAACGGTAGATATAGGCATACTTTTATCCCCTAAGAATTTTTCATCTGTTCGGATTTCCTAGCTGAAAGTCTATAGTGATTCGAAAATTAAAGGGATCAAAACTTACCTTTTCGGAAATTTCAGCCAGAAAAAGGCTCCCGAAGATTCTAGGTGACCTTTTTAGAGTAAAAATCCGTTAAAAATGGGCAATTATACCATTTTTTAGATGTTCGAAAATCCTTGGAGAGGCTGGCAAGCAAGAAATTATACAACAAATTTTCCGAAAATTCTAGATCTTAAATCGTCTTCCGAACAAATATACTTCCGAAAATTGTCGTTGGGTGCCCCTGGAGATTGAACGATTTCATCTAAGAGCGGCTAAATTAATAGACAGCTTCCCCAAGAATATTATGGATTGTGAAAAATAACAGCGTGTTCACTGGCGTAGTCTTGGGTATATTCAGTTATAAACAAAGATTAGCTATTGAGATGTCAGGCAAAACACATGCTAAATAGTTTGTCTCAACATGTAATTAATAAATTACGGGCTCAGGACGCAAAGTAAAGTTAACGGAAGTACCTAGAAAAAAAACTTAGAATTAGGTAGTACTAGGTAGAGACAGTCTTTTATTTAGGGGTCCTGTTGTCTCAGGATACGACAAGCAGAGAATGTGACAACATTGATACATTCAAAAGAGTATGTTTAAGTAACTCCTAGTGGGTCAAGTAATTCCTGGATTGTAAATCCTCTGTCTGCCATAATTGAATCCCCTTTCTCCCAAAGTTCTGGGTGTAGTATACCAACCTGGAAACTATTTCCTTATCTGACAGCGATCCAGGATACAGCTGACTCACAAAAGTTATAGCTCCAGAAGGACTGATGCCCACTAAAGCTTTGTATGTTACATGGTGCTTGCCAAGTCCGAATAACCACGCCAGATGTTTCTGTCCAAATCCACAGCTTAACCACACCAAAAACATAAACAATTGTTCAATCACATCCAATTTAGGCCTCACGCCAGGCTTACTTCCTTCAGTAAATTTACATTCATCAGGTTCATCTGACCCATTCTTTGAAGGCTCATAGTATTTCAAATTACTAGCATTCTCACCAGGATTTAAAAATTGAAAAAGAATTTCAAACTTAAGTGGATAAAAACCAGTGAATGACTTGAAAACGTCTTCTTGTTCTCTGATGTTCTTGGATGTAAACTGTCCTTTTTCCAGTTTTTGTATTTTGGCTTTCAGCTCACTCCAATCTTTTTCAACGTCACTTTTTTGTTTAATCAAAAGTGACAATTTAACCTCCAA